AACTAGCATGCAGTTTCTTCCTCACTTCCAGAAGACTGTGAAATCTCAAGGACTGGAGGAAAGGGGAGGGAAAAACACTGCCTGAAGAAACAAAATGAAAAATTCTTTGTGCTTTGGAAGTGACAGATTGACTCCTTCAAAGCTGTCCAAAAAACCCAAAATGGGGACAGAGGTGTTGGAAGACCATCCCCAGTGGAGAACTTTCCTACTGAAAACTCCTATGAACTGAAAGTTGCTCCCTCAGTGGCACTGGATGATTCTGCAGATACTGAAATGTCTCTTAGGCCTGTGGCATTACTGCCTGACCTACCCTCTCTTCTGGTATTTTCCAGGGTAAAAAGAAGACCTATAGCAAATACCACCAAACACCACTGTACAGTTGATGTAGTGGTGTTACAAATTCTTTTGCATGCTACTGGTGTAATTATGAATCCCCTGAGTTATTTCATGCTCTTTGAGACTATCATTGAAGCATTCTGGTGAGATTGGAGATTGTTGTTTCCAAGAATGATTTTTATAGTATTTATTTAATCTCTTGAATAGTATGAACTGGGCATTGTTCCTGAGAAATAATTTTCAATGCTTAAGAGCAGATGGTGTTTAACTGCCTATGTGTCAGTAAAAAAAAGTCCAAAGACAGTGGAAGAAGGAAGACTTTACAATACATACTGAATAGTTTGCACATTTATCTCTGTCAGTCCAAATGGAAAAACTGGCACCAGCTAGAAGAAAGCACTAGCATTTAGAGAAATAAATCTGCCAATTGTTTTGGTTACGTGCACTGTAGAGATTTAACTACATTTGGGGCACTCATAAAATTAAATAGTGATAAGCTTAAACACTGGGATTTGTAAAGTAACAGACTGTCGGTGGGTTTGGATGCAATTTGTGGAGTTAATTTTGTTTACAGGAACTGAAGAAAAACCTCAGTTTCATGCTAGGCAGAAAAGCCCTCTCAAGAGTTTCAAAGATAAAAAATTAAGTTGCACAATTTTTACCAGCTACTAAAATACTTAGACTAATCCAATTTCTTATACAATCACAGATTTCAAAGTAATTTACAAGCTAGTAGCTAGATTTCAGGAACCATGTCACAAATTGCTCTTGCAGATGTGTGAGGTAAGAGACAAAGTTAGTAATTGTGGTTTTGGTCTTGTCCACTGGCATGAATGAAAATATCCATTCTAGTAGAAGGCAGACATGGGCTAAAATCTAACCAAGACAAATATTTAAAGGCTTAATTACAGGTTGGTTTTTTTTTCAATAATACGGCATGTAGCAGTTTTCCCTGTTAAATAGTTCAGTATCATTAGCAGAGAAGTACTAAATTATATGCTGCAAATTAGTTCATATTAGCAACTTCATATGAATAAAAGGGCACTACCCTTAAAGAGCTCAAAATTCAGCTTTTTTTCCCTCCCCCACCTGCCTTTCCCCCCACCACCCCATTTGTCTTCTGCTCACGACGTTTTCCTGCTGTTTTTCAACCACCCTTTGGACATACAATGTAACATGACCCTAGCTAAATCCAGATAATAAAAAATACCATGAACCACACAGTCAAGTAGAACCTAGAAAACAGTAAGTTGGATAACTACAAACATGATTGCTATTTTAAATTTCCTTGTTTCTACCATTCCTTCACAAACACTAAAACATTACTTTGAAATAAATGGTGAAATAAAAATTGGTTTTATGATTAACGATTCTTCACTGAACTCCAAAGCTCTGCCCATGACAGAGTTTGCAATTTTAATCTATAAATAATGTTAAATAGATTTGCTTTTACAACCAAAGATAGCAGAGTCATCAGAACAAATTTACACATTTCCACTATTCACTATGGTGGAAAAACTTTACATACTAGAATGATACTTACTGTGGAGATGGCATTGACCATGCCATTGGTGATTTGGTCTTGACGCATATGCTTTACTACATCAAACTGAGCTGCACGTTGCTTGGGGATTACCTGGTCAGCAATCTTTTTCAGTTCAGAGTTAAATTTTTTGAACAAATCTTCAAACAGAAGAGAAAGAAGCTGGAAATACAAAACAATTAGATTAGGGGAAAAATTAATTCTCCAGGTCTGGGAAATGAAGAGGTGGGGAGGAGAAACACATGCTTAATATTTCTACCTTCATACTTCTTGTCAGTTAAATAACATCCTGTTTCTCAAATTATATTTTTCTAAATAGTTTCTGACTTCTTAAAGTGCAATATAGAGAAATTATCTCATAATAGAAAGCAAATTAAGTAGGATGGTCTAAGCCTACGCGTTTATCCCTTTTTGGTTTGCTCTAATCCTTCCTTCACAATTCCTTAGCACACCCATCCATCTCTACACTATCCATTTACTAACTGTTTTCCCTAATCTGCTACATTATAATCCAGCTGATCTACTTCTTCCTTCCTAAAGTCTCAAACTCTTGTAATACCCTAAAAGGACAACCCTGAATGACATACAAGATTTAGAGGCAAAACCATGTACATGTATACTAATCACTTTTAGTTCTTAAAATAGGCATAAAAGGAAAAGGCTACCAAAATTTGTGATGTGACTTTTTTGGCTTTCCAATCTGCTTTGCTTCTACAGTTTGCTCAATCTCTCCTTGCAGCCACTAACAGCTTCCCCAAACACTTAAATCTGCATTACATGATACATTTTAAATGTTCACAATGATTAGCTTTGCAAGCAAGCAGTATAAATTCTAAAGCCTGGCAGTCTTGTCCTGGGACTCTATTTTACAGCAGCTCCAAGTGTCAGAAGAATTAAAAATGCAGCAGCTACCAATGCCAGGAATGGTAGTTCTCAGTGTACAAAGCATTGTAGGGCTGAACAAGCTAGGTATTCAGCCACCACAGGCTAAGACATTCTGGAGTCAGTTGCACAATTTAATTTCTGTATGTGCAGAATTAAACTGAGTTTTAACTGTCTTCATCAGACATAGTCCCAACTTTTCCTCTGTATAACAAATAATACCTGGAAACTCAAGGCAGACCTCTGATTTGCAATAAAATGCTCCCACTGGCCTTCAGGGAGAGCAAGACTATTATCTTTGACGGTCTACTCTACAAGACATAAGGAACACTTAGTGTTCAGTCACTAAATTGTAAAACCAGTGATAACACACACTGTACGCTAACCCTTGACAAAAATTGAATCCTATTTCCATTCTGGACACAGAGTTTTTGCTTAAAACTGGTTAAGTGTGGTTTTTTTAGACTTGGCCTTGGCATGAGAGGAAGGTGTTGTAGACCCT